CGTTATTGTACATTAGTAATTTTGTTTAGCGCCTGAAATGATTATGAAGATTTACTTCAAAATTTTATGTTGCAAATGAAAATCTAAATTCATTGCTAATAAGATTCTAAATATAAGAGTTTGTGTTGGCTTTTGCCGTACAACCATGAAACTAAATGGTAAGTTTCTACGTAGTCGTATGTCGTCTCTTGTCCGAGGTCTTCTTCCAATACCGGGTAGTTATAGTATTGTACGGAATATCGGCTCTGATCTATTGAGTCGTAGAGACATTTCAATTAAGTTATTATCGTGTAACATTTTGAAAATGTTTTGTCTATTTTCTAATCTATATTTGGTTAATTCTAAGCTATTAAGGTCTTATTCGAGACTTATGGTCGCGCCAGATGAGTTAGGTCCTTTAGGTTAACTCATAGAGTAATTTCGGATAGGGTACACCGTCTGCTCGTCACGCTATCTTATTTTCGGCCGGATAGATTCGAGCAACTTCTTAGTCTAATACCGATCCTAATCTTACTCTTATATCTACTAGTCTCAGGGTGTTTAACTAGTCTCTGCTAGGCTCAATAGATGTAGAGTATACTGGCTTATTGCAACTGCTGAAGTTCTCTTGGAGAGGTAACTAATTTTTAAGTTAAATTCAAATCTCTCTGGTGCTGAAATTACAGGTAATTTCAGCACTTACAAATAAGTGGGTTGATAGTTAGATGGATTATGATTGGTTAAGATTAAATATTTTACAGTGGTAAAATATCTAATTTATCCAATAAACAAATGTAGTTTAGATCAGGTTCCAATGGTGAACAAACTAACACTTCTGAACAGATTTGTTCATCCTACTTTACAAACACGCGTTTAGCCATAATAAAAACTACAAAAGTAGACACAGAGGCAAAGCTGCAGCTGAGCGAACACGAGCGAGGAAGCGGCGAAGAATCAAGTGCTTTAAAATGACCAAAAACGCATACTTTGCATGTAATAAATTAGAATATTTCAAACCAAATTGGGTATAAATTATGCATTTCAAAATTTCGCTTGTATAAATCGTGCAAAGTATTTCGAGTTGGAAATTTTCTGAAATGGGATTTTAATTATTCTACTGTAGCATGAATCAAAAAACATTTTTGGTTCACTTGATGAATGAAAAAAGCATCAACTGTGTTAGCTCATTAATAATCAAATGTCAAAATACTTCAGATAACACTGCTAGTGTAGTTTACGGATTGGAAAAGTGCCATTAAAAGTAACACCTTTATTTGCAACTTAAGTTGGAAAAGTTATATCGTACTATCACACTACGCAAAGCGGAAAAAAATTGACAGTCCTCCACTATCGAGTTTCAATTTTTACAGAGGCAAAGCAAAGCTTCGCACCACTTGCGATACATCACATACGTAGCATGAGAATTGAACCGACAGAACTGGAGATGAAAGTAGTAGAAGAAACTTGAGCAGACACATGTTACGCCAAGAAAAGTGGTTTGATTAGACAAATTTGAAAACTCATCATTCGCTCCTCAAAACATTCAGATATTTTTTGCTCCTCGAACAACTAAAAAGAGGCCTCTAAGCCGATCTAGTACAAGTTGAAATCTTTAGTGCCGAAAAAGCAAAAAAAAACTGATATACTGATATCGGAGTTAGTAAATTTACAATCAACTTTAAAAAATTCTAATAGAGCGGGCATTTAAAAAGCAGATGGCTCAAAAATTTCCAAACCCCTTTACTCGCATGATCATAAATTTTATGGTGTAATTAGGGGTTTTACAAGGTTAAAAATCAAGACCAAATATGTTGGCCGCGGCCAAATCAGTCCACTAGTCAACTTTCAGAATCATTGGGCAATGTGAACAGACATTTTACGAGCGACAAATATTCAGGAGCTTGAAATTACCCAATAGCTCAAATTTTGCAAGTTATAATTTAGACTGCATTAATGCAAATTGCGTATAAAATATGCGTATCAAGTATTTCGAGCGCAAAAAGCACTGAGCGGTAAAAATAAGACACAAGTTGCTCAGAAAAAAATGTTTCGTTAAGAAAAATTTTAAATATCAAAAAAGATTTCAGTCGCTCCTCAAAACAATCGATAACTTTTTGATTCTCAAACTACTCAAAAAGAGGACTCTCAGCCGATATAGTATAAGTTGGTAAAATTAAAATCAGCTTTAAAAAAAGTTGGTAAAATTACAATCAACTGAATAAAATAAAATTCGACAGAGTCGGAACTGAGCTTTGCACCACTTATGATACAAGTATAAGATTAAAACAGCAAGACACTCAAGAACTATCAAGAAAGACTTCGAACGTTGTTATAGTTGAAGAAACAATTAGAAAAATAAATAACTAATTATAAAATCAAGTTTTTTTTATGTTTAAACATATTAAATTCTTAAAATAATTCTTGGTGAGGTTGAATTTGAGCTTTCAAAGAAATGAATTTGGAGCTAAAGTCTTTAGGATTTTTGAACAAAATCAGAAATAAAAAATTCGGTAAATAAGCCGACAGCCACTTCAACCAAAATCAACCAAAATTGTTCCGCAAAATCTTGGAGAAAAAAATAATTTTGTATTACCCAAACAGTATCCACGAAGCCATATTTGTACTGGAATCAAGGCGGTATACACAATTTGGAAACTAAAATGAGAGCTTAATCGAAAGCCGAAAAATCATAATACAAAAAAGCGATGTTAAAAGCGTAATATCGATGTTTAACACTGTACATACAACTAGAATTATCAGAACGAATGCAGATAACTTTGAAAAAAAAACATGCCAAGACGATAGAAAGCAAAATTAGCATCGGAATAAAAGTTATCAATCAGTTTTTAAAAAGCAGAAAACGCCTCAGCAGAAACCCTTCATGCCAAAAAACTGTTCAAAAATTATAAATTTTGAATCTCCCTTCTCCTCAGAACACAAACACAAAGTAAACTTTTTTTCGGTCATCTAACGAAACAATAAGGGGCCCAAATTCGATATAAAAACCGATTAAACCAGAAAAATTTGAAAAAAAAACTTGAACGAATCGAGTTGGTAAAATTACAACCGATGTAAAAATTCGATTAGGTTAGGTTTCTAAAATGCTAAAACAATTAAAGCAACCACAGTGAATATTGTTTATAGCAAAAGTCAACTATTTTTAGATCTGGCAACTCAGCCGAAAAAACATAAGCAGCCAAATAGGCCGAATTTTTCTTGAACCGAAACATTTACCAATTGAAAAAAACAGGTCCTGGTCAGATTCGAATTCCCGAGCTTTGCCGTCCCAGGCGTATTCATTACCTCCAAGCTAAGTGTGCACGTGGTAAATTTGATTTCATTATTAACCAAGCTACCCCCATGAGTCATTGAGTTCTGTGAACAAAATTTTTACAGGAACAAAGTCTAGTACCCGATTGCAATACCCTTGCTTTCGCCATGCTAAATAGAACGTCTCTTTTTCCTTCCCCCCACCTGCAAATTTTCACTTTTGAAGTTACTGTTCACATTGTTCGATTGTCATGAAAATTGACATGTAAACTAATTAGGCCATGACAATCATATTTGGTTTTCATGATTAACCTTCTAAAACCACTGGTTTGACCATAAAAATAATGTTTGAGTGAGGTGGGGGGGGGGGGGAAAGCCAATAGAAAATACCTTAAAAAGGCAGACAGGCTTAGGCTCTTTTCCAATTTCCCAATCCCTTCGTAAAATTAAAATTACAAAATAAAACTGTTCAAAAATTGTTCACACGGCATTTTGCATGTTATAAAGGCTGTACAAATTTGTTCAGCTATTCACGCTGTCACGTTTTAACGCAGTTTATAATATGAAAAGTCATTTTAAAAAACTTTCATATATTGAACTTCAGAAAACATCAAAAGGAGGACTGGAAAAGGCTATTTTCTAGTCCCCCCTTCCAATTCAATTTTTAAAAGCTTATTTAACATTATCATATTGCAATGAAACTTGGCGTGGTGAACAAATTGACAATTGTGAACAATTTGTTCTTAATACTTTACAGGGTAACATCACGCATTTAGCCGTACTAACACTTAAATCAAACAAAAAACTCGGTATTTTGAAATGGGGACAGGAAAAGAGCCCTGGAAAAGAGCCCAGGCTTAAGATTAGGCTTTTTAAACCCCCCCCCACCTCGTATGAGCATCAATTTTATGGTGTAATAGGGGTTGTTACAAATTACAAGGTTAGGTATTAAGACCAAATATGTTGTCGTGGCCTAATTAGTAGTCCGCATGTCAACTTTCATAAGAATCGATCAATGTTTCAAATAGCCTAATTAGTCAGAATATCAATTTTTGCAAGTGGGGTGGGGAGAATATCCCATGCGTTTAGCCATATCAATACGCAATACATGAAACGGTGATATGTTAAATTGGTGGTTAATTTTGAGTATAGTGCATGTATTAAATTTCACAACTAAAATGCATAATATAGTCTTTTCATTTTCAGTTATTGTAATTTCATTTTCAATAGTTTTTGTAAATAAATTTACTCTGCCCAACCAAATGAAATTTTAATCAAAAAAATTAAATTTTGCTTTTGCCGAAAAAATTGGCTTTTGAAAAAAATTATAAATCATGGGCGAAGTATAACAAAAAGCGATCCAGCTATTGAAATTGAACCTATCACCTATTGTAATATATCACCCATAAAACAACTAAATAAATTAGGAAATTTGAAATTGACATATACTGAATTACCATTAAACCATTAACATACTTTTAGAAAACATTACAAATTCATTACTTAAATGTCAAACACAGAAAGTGGCAAGAGAGAAACGGTAGAAGAGCCCAAGTTTAAGTCACCGTTCTTCCATTCATTCGTCAATATAATACAGAAACGAAGGGATACATGATGAAGGGACTCCTGACTGTAACCTCGGTTACTATGATACTTTTGACCTTCTGATTACTTTAAAATATATATATATATATATATATAATACAGAAACGAAGCCTCGAAACAATTTTAGGCGTCAAAACCTGACTTACTTATTCTCCATCCTTGCATGGAAGAGCATCCACATCGTAACCGCGAATTTTCGTAGGTGGCCGATATTTTTGTGGTGACCGGTTCCGAAAGTGTCTGACCCATTAAATTACGATTGATCGCAGTCACACACGCGAAATAATATACTAAAATTTGATACGAGTCAGGCTAAACCATCGGTAAAACTTAAATTATCCTGAGCTCTGCAGTATATATCCGAATTACTTTCCGTCTTCTGGGAGTATTTGATCAAGAATCGGCAAGAATTGGCCAATAGTGTTGTAAGGTGGAATGTATATATCGTTCAGCCTAATTCAAACTCATTTCAACTAAAAACATAAACTTTAATCTTCTTTTGTTCGCCATAGTTTCTATCCTTTGTTGCAGTTGATGTATCGAAATTAACGAACACGTGCATCATTTAACACGTGAGCCAAGAACTTCGCACATTGAGAAATCTTATCGAAAAAAAGTAAGCTGAGAAAAGAATTATACTATCCATAAAAATAAGAATATCTTCAATACAAACAACACGTTTAGTTTCCCAGATCTCTCAAATAAATCCTCGAAATATGCTGAATGACCAGGAAACCTATATGCACAGCGACAAGGAAAACTGAGGTCATTTCTGTTGTTAATGACAAATGGTTGACAATATTCTTTTCGGTCAACGAAGTTGAACGCAGTTAGTTAACCCAAGTCCTCAATTTGATGTCCGAAATCATTTTTTACTCAATTGAGCACGTAAAAAACGGCTCTTTTCCAGTTCCCCCCCCCCCTTTCAAATTCAAATTTGAAAAGCTTATTTAACGTAGTCATAATGCCATGAAATTTGGCATGGTGAACAAATCGACAACTGTGAACAGATTTCTTCTTCATACTTTACAGCGTAACATCACGCATTTAGCCGTAATAACACGTAAAACAAACATAAAACTCGGTATTTTGAAAGGGGGGAACTGGAAAAGAGCCTAATTAGTCAGAATATCAATTTTTGCAAGTGGGGTGGGGAGAATATCCCATGCGTTTAGCCATATCAATACGCAATACATGAAACGGTGATATGTTAAATTGGTGGTTAATTTTGAGTATAGTGCAGGTATTAAATTTCACAACTAAAATGCATAATATAGTCTTTTCATTTTCAGTTATTGTAATTTCATTTTCAATAGTTTTTGTAAATAAATTACTCTGCCCAACCAAATGAAATTTTAATCAAAAATTAAATTTTGCTTTTGCCGAAAAAACTGGCTTTTGAAAAAAATTATAAATCATGGGCGAAGTATAACAAAAAGCGATCCAGCTATTGAAATTGAACCTATCACCTATTGTAATATATCACCCATAAAACAACTAAATAAATTAGGAAATTTGAAATTGACATATACTGAATTACCATTAAACCATTAACATACTTTTAGAAAACATTACAAATTCATTACTTAAATGTCAAACACAGAAAGTGGCAAGAGAGAAACGGTAGAAGAGCCGAAGTTTAAGTCACCGTTCTTCCATTCATTCGTCAAGATAATACAGAAACGAAGGGATACATGATGAAGGGACTACTGACTGTAACCTCGGTTACTATGATACTTTTGACCTTCTGATTACTTTAAAATGTAAATATATATAATACAGAAACGAAGCCTCGAAACAATTTTAGGCGTCAAAACCTGACTTACTTATTCTCCATCCTTGCATGGAAGAGCATCCACATCGTAACCGCGAATTTTCGTAGGTGGCCGATATTTTTGTGGTGACCGGTTCCGAAAGTGTCTGACCCATTAAATTACGATTGATCGCAGTCACACACGCGAAATAATATACTAAAATTTGATACGAGTCAGGCTAAACCATCGGTAAAACTTAAATTATCCTGAGCTCTGCAGTATATATCCAAATTACTTTCCGTCTTCTGGGAGTATTTGATCAAGAATCGGCAAGAATTGGCCAATAGTGTTGTATGGTGGAATGTATATATCGTTCAGCCTAATTCAAACTCATTTCAACTAAAAACATAAACTTTAATCTTCTTTTGTTCGCCATAGTTTCTATCCTTTGTTGCAGTTGATGTATCGAAATTAACGAACACGTGCATCATTTAACACGTGAGCCAAGAACTTCGCACATTGAGAAATCTTATCGAAAAAAAGTAAGCTGAGAAAAGAATTTTACTATCCATAAAAATAAGAATATCTTCAATACAAACAACACGTTTAGTTTCCCAGATCTCTCAAATAAATCCTCGAAATATGCTGAATGACCAGGAAACCTATATGCACAGCGACAAGGAAAACTGAGGTCATTTCTGTTGTTAATGACAAATGGTTGACAATATTCTTTTCGGTCAACGAAGTTGAACGCAGTTAGTTAACCCAAGTCCTCAATTTGATGGCCGAAATCATTTTTCACTCAATTGAGCACGTAAAAAACGGCTCTTTTCCAGTTCCCCCCCCCCTTTCAAATTCAAATTTGAAAAGCTTATTTAACGTAGTCATAATGCCATGAAATTTGGCATGGTGAACAAATCGACAACTGTGAACAGATTTCTTCTTCATACTTTACAGCGTAACATCACGCATTTAGCCGTAATAACACGTAAAACAAACATAAAACTCGGTATTTTGAAAGGGGGGAACTGGAAAAGAGCCTAAAAAACATATAACACAGAGGCGAAGCACAGCTTCGCACCAATTGTGATACAGACCAAACATTTTAAAAAAAAAGTCGATAAAAGGAAGTCGAAAGTCAAATGTTAAAAAACAAGGTGAATCAAGATTTTAATGTGCCAATAAAAGATAACTTAGGATAATTAAAGCTAGAGGTGCGGATTTGATATTTTTAGATTTTTTATACCGATAAGGGCTGAAATGGGTAACTTCAAAAATTGGACTTTCTCCAAAATCGTAGTTCTAACTCAGTTAAAATAAATGACTTCTAAAAATGTGTGAGATATTGGAATTTTCCCCAAAGAAATAACACTTTTCTTACAAAAAAATTAAGTCGGAAATATTTTCGCAACCGGTTCTTTCGGTTGAAACCTTATTTTCAAGAACTCTATAGGTCATGGCCGCTTAAGCGAAGAAAATTCTCAAAAACGGGTTTTTCGATTGAATACTTTACCTGAGAATTGGCAAAGTAGTTTTCGAGAAAAGTCAAGTTTCCAAAAACGGTCAAGTTTCAAAACTTTGACTTCTTCGAACGCCATAACTTATTAGGCTGCCATGAACTTGTTGTTTCGAGTAAACCATTGATATCAGATTTGGTAAGATGGTTAGCGAGAAAGTTTCCAAGAAACGGTCAAAAAATCATATATTTTTTTTAAAAATCATAGCTTTTTGTGAAAAACAATTTAGAGTAGCCGCTTGTGCCGAAGAACTTCACGCAACCTGCAATTTCAATTGAGCCCAAAAATTCAGATTTGGGAAGAAAGTTCTCGAGAAAAGTCAAAAAATTTCACAAACAAACTCAAAAAATCAAACCTTTGGCCTTCTCGAGGGCCACAACTTTTTGTGTAAGACAATTTGGTCGTATTCGCGTATGCAAATGAGCTTCCCACAGTCCGTTTTTTGGATTCAACCCAACATTTTAGATTTGGGAGGTTAGCTTCGAGAAAAAATAAAGTTTCAAAAAACGGTAAAAATCAAAAATCTGACTTTTCCGAGGTCGATTAATTTTTTGTGTAAAAAATTCACAACCAATTATCTCCAATGATCCCACAATCTCAGACACGGGAGGGTAGTTTTCCAGACAAGAAAAAAAAACAGTACTTTTTGGTTATTCCGAGGGCAAAACTTTTTTGTGTAAAAAATTCGGGCGTAGCAGAGCTTATGCAAGGAAGCTAATTAAATGTATCAAATGAATGGCAAAAACGACTGATACTAATGTTCTTGGCAAAATTGAAAAACTACGACAAAACTCTTTTTGTGTCAAAAGAGCTCAGCCCAAGTGAATTTCTGATTAAGAACAAACTTCTTATGAAAAGACGAACAATGATAGAAACTGGCGTATCAGCTAAAAACCTAAGGCTAAGGGACCTTGTCCTTTACCAATATGACGAAGAAAGTGGCAATTGGAAAAAAGTCGAAGAAAGCAATTGACTACCTACTGCTAAGTATTTAAAAGTCAGAAGTATTTTAGACATCAACAGAAGAACAGCTCTATCAAATGCCATTTTACAAACAGACTACGATATACTATGTCTCACAGAGACATGGCTGGTAAAGGAAATACTAGATAAAGCTCTGCATTTGGCTGGTTTTATTATAATTCGCAAAGATAGAAAAAACTCCACTTTAAAAACCAATCACGGAGGTGTACTCATGGCGATAAAAGAAAATGTGCATTACGAAGAAATTGATGCTCAAATAGAAAATGAAGAATGCATAGTGGCCAAACTAACAGGTGAAACTGGGCATAATCAAATTCTCTGCTGTGTTTGTAATCCCCCGAAAAACAGTAAATACCAATGGAATCAACAAAACTTCAAAACTTCGAAAACTTAACAAAATTACAAACAAAACACAACTGTAACGCAGTGTCAATTACGGGAGATATAAATTTGGAATACTATCGTTGGAAAATGATGCACTCAAAGGACGAATATGAAAATGCAGTGTTAAAAAAAGCTCATTGAACTTGACTATGAACAATTATTCGACTCCAAAAAAAGCAGCTTGATGTTTTATTAACAAACAACCCTGGAGTGATACTCAACAGGCACACGGACCAAACAGCAACAAACGCATACAGCATTGAAAAAGTTTCATGCTCAGATCATTATGCTTACTCTGCAACATTTAACATGGAAGCCAGTATCAAAGAAATAAACAAAGGTGAAAGTCTGGCATTTAAGAGAGCCGATTGGACGACAATAAATCAAGAAATAAAAGACAAACCTTTCATACCTTATTGTTACAGTAATGTAAATGAGCTCCTGCGTCAGTGGTATGCATGGTTATGGGACAAAATAAAGAACAATGTACCCAAGGTTACATCACACAGATCAACTCTCCCCCCGTGGGTGACACCAAGTACGTCTCACATGCTAAAAAGAGTACAAACCTTAACACGGCGTATTGATCGGCAAAACATACCTACTTTAAACAAACCTATTTTAAGCCTTATCCTAAAACACAAAAAACTGGAAAAAAATCTTCAAATAGCATTGACTGAAGATCAAGCAATTTACGAAGAAACAGTAACAAGCAGTAGACGATTCAGTGACCTACAAAAAAACTTGAACAAAATAAGTAGTTCCAGGCAATATCCCCAAAAAATGTTTTACAAGGAAAAATCCACTAGAGATGACACCCAAAAAGCTACA